CCTTCCTCCTCCTTCTGTCCTGGGAGGGGTTCTGAAGCTTCTTCTTGAGGTGGTTAACCGGGAAGAGGGTGGACCGGAAGAGCCTGCCAAGATCTTTAGGTGCGCGGTGCCAAGACGCCTGGAGGAAGCCAGACTGACTCTCAGGAATGCCATTGGCACCCAGTGAGTTTCCACGGGCAGTTACGGAATTGTGAGGAAAGGAAGACAAGCTAAGAAAGGATGTTCAGCCGGCCAGCCATGGCCAGCTCATGCCTGCATTCCCCTTGGGGTGTTGCAGTGATCCAGAACCCGCCATCGCTGCGTCTCTGCGCCTGGCAAAGCCGCAGCATCGTACTTACCCTCTGAATCTGAGACCTCTTTCCCAAATGGACATAAATAAAGCTGCATAGGCTCGGGTACCGAAATGTAAGCTTCCCTCCTGCCTCTTGCTTCCAAAAAACTTTTTCTCTTCGGTGTAGGGAAAAAAAAAAAAAAAGTCTTTCTCTACTCCACCTCTCTGCTCCCTCCAGAGCTCACCCCTGGGGCCCCTTCACCCCAACCATGGGTTGATTTCCCCTATGCTCAGGGTGCTGAACCAGAGTGAACCTGATTACTTCCATTAGAGTGATGCAGACAACTTTTCTGGCCTGCGAATGACCTGAGGGATCCTTTTGCAGGGGGTGTTGAGTCCAGGGTGCCCTGATTTTTCTCTCCATTAAGGGTAGCAAGGGAGTGAAAAACAGCCTGGCTCTCTCTCACCCAGATCTTTAATTCATCACCTAATGACTGCAAATTTATCTTTGAGGGCATTAGATGAGGATACACAGGGTCATGCACCAGGGTTTAACAAATCTTATTTTTCGAGGACTAGCAGTTTGATTTCCAGAATGGCAGTATTTGGAGTCCATTGCATGCCATCCTGGAGTAAATACAAAACTGAATCAAGTTGGAGCCCAGAACATGCATCCTCCCTTTTAAAAGACATTCTACTTTGCAGCATTTCCTTTCCATCTGCATTAATTCTTTATATTTCCCTAATAAGACAGATCTAAAAAAAAAAAAAAAGCCCTAGTCAAGATGTCCTTGGCAAAATCATAGAATTTTCAGGGAAATGGATGGCATTAGAGCAGATTATGCTAAGTGAAGCTAGCCAATCCCTAAAAAACAAATGCCAAATGTCTTCTTTGATATAAGGAGAGTAACTAAGAACAGGGTAGGGAGGAAGAGCATGAGAAGAAGATTAACATTAAACAGGGATGAGAGGTGGGAGGGAAAGGGAGAGAGAAGGGAAATTGCATGGAAATGGAAGGAGACCCTCATTGTTATACAAAATTACATACAAGAGGAAGTGAGGGGAAAGGGAAAAATAATACAAGGGGGAGAAATGAATGACAGTAAAGGGGGTAGAGAGAGAAGAGGGGAGGGGAGGGGAGGGGGATAGTAGAGGATAGGAAAGGCAGCAGAATACAACAGACACTAGTATGGCAATATGTAAATCAATGGATGTGTAACGGATGTGATTCTGCAATCTGTATACGAGGTAAAAATGGGAGTTCATAACCCACTTGAATCAAAGTGTGAAATATGATATATCAAGAACTATGTAATGTTTTGAACAACCAACAATAAAAAAAGAAAAAAAAAGTTTAAATGTATAACCTGTTAGAATATGGGATCTTTTCTCTAGAAAGGAAGCTAAAACTAAAAGGGATCTTAAAAATCAACTAATATAATTAAAGAAGAAACTGCTGCCCAGAGATTAATGGTTCGAACTAATGGTAGTATCTAAGGAATACACAAGCCAATTAGAAGGAGGCTCCACTGGCCAAAGACATGACAATTTGAATATAAAAAGAAATAACTGCAACTGATTCAAATATGTCAAATCTATAAAGTTCATGGATTTATAATGAGTTGATAAATTGTTCATCCCAATCTCTCCACACCTGGCCTCCAAAATAGAGAAAAACTCTGGTTGAACCCAAGTGGAGGTTGCTAGGATCCCAAATGCATATTCTAAAAATTAATAAATAAAGACTGAGGAATGTGAAAAAAAAAAGATGTCTTTGGATCAGCAGCAATGGCATCAAGTGGAAACTCATGAGAAACTCCAATTGTCAGAGCATCCGGGTCATTCTGAAATGTGCAAAAGAACCACTGGCTTAAAAGTTCCCCCTATGTAGTGTTTTCACTAATTGAATACACATAACCAGTGGATTCCATGTTACCTTGTTCACTACTTCTCTTTTCAGGGAAGAGAACCTATTCTCTAGTTTTCTCTTAAAAAACAAAAATTCAATTTGACAATGGGAATACCTGCTAAAAGCATACTGAATTCCCTGTAGAAGACATACAAGCGAGGAGGGGGAGAGAGGAAGAAAAGTGAGTAGGGGAGGAGGCAGAGTATCCACTGCTACAGTATAATTTGACTATGTATACTCTTCTTGCAAACTCACACACTTTTTTGAAGTACTTCATTTTTTTTTCAGGCATTATAAGTGACATCTTTAGTCATTCCCCTGGTTCTTCTTGAAAGTTTCTTCTAAGATACTTTTTGTCACCTATACCTCATAGGTCACTCCCAAGTCCTCACTCCTGGCTATACTAGCTTGGGGTAAAGGGGTCCCCTATTCATGTTTTGCAGCTGCTTGTCAAATTGCAATTCAAGTAATTAGACTGGGCACAAGGGAGTCTGGGGCTGTACCTTTGGGGAAAGATGCAAGGTGATAAAAAAGTGCAGGGAATCTAGATATGGTTAGTGTGGGCTTACTGGTGATCTGAGACAGGAGAAGAGCCCGTGGAGAAAGATTTTTCAACTGTGGAGGTATGGTGAAGGTGTGCAGAAATGTTCATGTTGTATTCTTAGAGCTAATGGTAATCACAACCCAGTCATTCCCTTTCACACTGTTTCATTTAGTCTACAACTGTGGAGACCCAACTGTGCTCAGGCACCTTGGTTGTGGCTCCTGATGAGATGTGTCCTCATCACTAAACATCAGTGTCCTCTTTCCATATGCAGCTCTTAAGTTTTGTATTTATTATTTGAGTTTTTCTGGATTTTAGATTTCTAGGAGTCAGCCTGATAGACACTTCTGAGCAAACTTGGAGAACATTGGGGAGAGGTGGAAGGTAAGAAGGGTTCAATACTGCATGGAAGAGACATGTTGTAGTTCATACAATAAAAGATCTTTGCCTATACATTATAATGTACACCTTTTGAGCTTCCTACCTAGATGCTTTCATTTGGGGGCCTAAGAATATGCAGTTCACCACCTGCCATTTAGTACAAGTATCTGACATTTGCAAGGAGTCTTTCATTTATGAAGAAATTGCATTAATAGAATCTCATTTGAGTCACACTAAGCCTTTGTACAGTAAAAGAGAAAAGCATGAGTGTGGTTATTACTATCGTTATCACCATCTTTGTTTTTTAGAGAGGAGAGAATCAAGGGTTGGCTAACTTAGGATATAGCTAGCTGGATGCAGAACCAGGACTGGAATCCGGGTGTGTTCCCTTTTCGTAGCCTTCTGCCTCCTGACTAAAGCAAAGGCTCCAAATTAGAGCTAGGAAGCACAAGGATTTTAAAAAATATCCGTCAGCAGTTTGGGGCTGTCAGAGAATGACGAAGAAGTTACTTCTCTAAAGGGTTGCCAGAGTGGAGCGCTTAGAACGGGGGGCATTCATCTGTGTGTGCGTGCGAGCGTGTGTGTGTGTGTGTGTGTGTGTGTGTGTGTTTTAAAGAAATTGCTAGAAACTTGGTAAGATTGTTGAGTGTGAAAGGCAAACAGCTGAGTGGGCTGGTACCAGTCTTAACGATTTGATTTGAACTCTAGGCCCGGGAGGCGAGGGTTCTGTCCCTCCAGTAGAAGTGAATTTGGGGAAAGTGGAGCGGGCTGGAACTGGAAATGTGCTCTTGAAAGTCAAATGGGGTGTGGGTAGAAGGTAGCCTGACACCTTGAAATATCCTCCAACTTGCAAATGACGTGGACGAGGAGGCACCAAAGTTCCTAGCCTCGGGAGAATGGACGCTTCACGTCGGTGCAACACAGCGGGATCCTGCTGACCCGGCTGAGAGCTCCACCCGAACCGCGGCCTTTGGGGTTGGCTGGATGCGGGAGAAGGATGGGAAAGTCCTTACGCCAGGTACCAAACAGTCCAGGGAAACAAAGGGCGGGGTGGGGGAGAATGGAGGATCGAAAAGAAAGAGCAAATGAAGCGGAAGTTTCAAGGCCCTCTACGAGGAATAACAGTATAAATAACCGAAGACGTCGTGTAAACACTGCGGTCATAACCCCGAACATTAAACAGCCCCGGTGGCATCTGGCGCATCGGCAGCCGCGGGCTGCGCTGGGGCAGCCAGGGAGCCCGATCCCAGGCTCCTCTGCCTCGCTTCTCTGTTTATCTCAACTTAATCTTCCTCTGCGAGCTGTTCCGTAGCCTGGAAGATGTTTAAATTAAAAACCAGCCCGCCGGAAGTCGTGGCGGGACAAGGGGTAACCTCAACCCAATTGCAGGCCTAAGTGAGTTAAATAATGAATTATTAATAAGAAATATACAGAATATGTTGCAGCATTTGGTGATGCACAACACACCCCGAGGGCTATGGAATTTACATCTTTCATAGTCCCCCTTATTTTTTCACTCGTTTGCAAACGTGGATTATTGGGATCACAAACACGCCTGGAAATTATACACCGTGGAGTTCACTTCCCTATTTGTATCGCAATTATACCGTAGAATACTTGAAAAATAGAATTTTCCTTTTCCTGCTTTTTCCCCCTCCTGAATTTAGTAACAAAATAATCCTGCTCTTTCTGTTTATAGTTCAATATTTCTCATGATCTTAAAAACAACTTGTAAGAATTTCTTTTTAGGATTTCAGTACAAAATATGTTCCGCGCCTTCATAATGGAAATAACATTTAATCCTTTTCTAGAGGTTTGGAAGAACCATTTTAATCAAACTTCCCCATAGTTTTTCATTTTTCTTTCCAATTAAAAAAAAAAAAACCACACCAGTGTTTTTAGCAATATAAAGAAAGATTTATTTTTGAAAGTAGCAAAACTTGTTTGAAAAAAATATATATCTTTAAGTGAATTACTTTATAAATGTGACTGTCAAAGTCAGCTATTCTATGATCTACATTTTACAACATATTGTACAAAAGATACACATTGATAGGCTCTTATTATCTATTTATATATTTATAATTACATATTGCACTTGGACCAGCAAGGCTCGAAGTCATTCACGGTAGAAGTTAATAAAGTTAAATAGATGGGAATCTGTAAGCACGATTGATCTCCTCTGGTTTGGAAACGAATCTCCTCGTCGCTGTAAAGTGTTCTCTCAGGGTGAGATGGGAGAGGAGCGTTGCGAGGGGGAAGCAGAGACAGAGAGCAGGGAGGGCAGGGGTCGCCTCCCGGGGCCGCTCCCCGCCGGGAGCGCGCCTTTCCCAGACTCGCACCTCCAAGGTCAGGACGCTGTGGTTCCACATAAGCGGCTTGCGGTCACCACTTCTTTCAGGTCACTCTCGGGTTTTCCGGCCACCATAAAGGGCCACGTCTGCAGGAGACAAGAGGGTGGAGGAGGTAAGCAGCCCAGGAGGAGAAGAAAGGGTGGGTTCGGGACTGAAAAGGAAAGGAAGGGGTGCGGTGGGGTAAGCAGTGAGCAGGGGAGGGCGGTTATCTCTGCGATTTACTTTGTGTCCACGTGGTCCCTCTGTTGAATAAAGCAAAAAAGCTGCCTTGGTGCCAAGGTGCTCGAGGTGATGGTGGTGGCCTTTTAGAATAAGAGCCCAAAAGGCCCATGCTGGGTTCCAGTTGAAATCCAAGAGAAGCCCCGGGAAAGCTTAGTGTGCGGTGGCACAACCGGGAGGCAGATGCTCTAAATAGCCTGAGCAGAGAAACTCATAAGGACCTTGCAACTAGTGGGCACCTCCTAGAAGAGAAGTGCCCTTTAAGCCCCTTGGATAAGACAGCGGTCAGGTTTCAGGATCCTCTCACCCTCATCCCCATCTATCTTCCTGGTGCAGACTTTCTTCTTTCAAACTCAGGATTTGACTACAGTTTTAAGTTAACCACCAGCTCTGAAAGGGGAAATATTGCTAATAATAGATATATGGTCGTTTTTATTTAAGACCCTTTTCCTACTATGGAGAAAGCCAAACTGTCTCTTCCTTTCTCTGGGCTCTTTTATAATACAGCTTATTTAAATTTTTATTCAAAGATGAAGACAACAGCAATTGTAAGTATTCTAGGAAATATTTTCATTTTAGTTTCATGAGGGCTGGGGACCCTTTTAATTGGAGGGGAAAATATTTTTCATGGCAAAATGTGTTTGCATCCCCTGCCCCCAACTCCTGAGACCAACTGGGTGAGATGACAACTCAACCCTCTAGGCACTAGTGATGGACGATAAGACTTGACTTTTAAGAGGAAAGTCTCATTCTTATCACATCTAAACAGAAGTTCTAGTAAGTTGTTGTTTTCTTTAGAGCCTGCACCTTTTAAAGTGAAATCAAATAAAAGGGGAATTAAAACATATTTCTTAAACAGGGAAATACATTTGAGAAAAATAGTAGGGTCAATAAGCATTAGTTTTTTGTATTTAAAAAAATTAGATTCAATGGGCATTACTTTTTAAGAAAACAGGAATAATGTCTTTTTAAATCTCAGATGAGAGTGACCTATTATTTTAGTGTTATTCGGTACACCAATACGTGTGCAAATTTGTTAAGAATGCTGATATCTAACAGAATTTATGCTATTTAAAAATGTCAACCCACTCAGAGAAGAAACAGAATATTTAAGTAATTGGGGGACTTCCGTTTATAAGAAAGTGGCCATGAATGGTCCTATATATACTTGGGAAAGGAACGGAATTGGAAGTTTATAAAGAAAAATCACGTTTTTACTCTCAGCTAACGGAAAAATAAAGGGATTAATAAGATGTCTCTTTGGTGCGCAACATCTTGTCAACGTTCCCTATTCTGCACCAGCCCCTTCACGCTAGCGGGAGCTGCTCTGGCACCCGCGCGGGGGATCCCTCCTCTTTGCCAGCTTAATACACATGGAAATCCCTAATGGGGCTGCCACGTCAAACCCTCGCATAAATCATTCCGGTGGCGGCACTTAGGGCAGGGAGCGCGGGCGCTGTGGGGAGCGCCAGGAATCGGTCCCTAGAGGCACTACGCCGGCGGTGGCTAAGGTGTGTAGGGAGGGCGCACCAGTGCCGGCACCCCAGTCCCAGCCGAGCGCACACGCTGGCACTCACACCCCGCGGGTCAGACTTGGGGCGCGCAGCACCGCAGAACTCACCAGGTTGACGGGGTGAATGTAACCGTTCTCATACTTGTCGTTAGCCAGGATCTGCCTCAAATGGGCGATGTAGCTGGACGCCAACCTAAGCGTGTCCAACTTGGAGAGCTTGGTGTCTGGGGGCACCCAGGGCAGGGTGGTCTTGAGCCTGGAGAAGGCCTTGCTCAGCACCCGCATGCGGGCCCGCTCGCGCGCGTTGGCCGCATTGCGCTGGACCTGCTTTCCCTCCTGGCTGACCCCGCTCAAGGGGCTCTTTTTGGTGGGCGCCTTCCTCCTCTTGCCCAGGCCGCCGCGGCCTTTCTGGGGAGACCCGTTCTCGCAGTTGGAGCTCTCCTCTGTGCTCTCGTTGGAAGTCACAAACTCCTTGTTGGAGTCCACTTTTAGCCCTTCGCATTCCAGCATCTCCACCTCCTGAAGGTCCTCCACATCGCTGAGGGAGCCGGTGGACATGTTGAGGGTAGGGGTGGAGAGACAGAGCAAAAAAGGAGAGAGAGCAAAAAGGAGAGAGACGAGAGAGAGAGAGAGAGAGAGAGAGAGAGAGAGAGAGAGAGAGAGAGAGAGAGAGAGAGAGAGAGAGAGAGACCCTGAAACCAATGGGCCTCCAAGTACGGAGCAGCTACCTCCTGTTGGAAATTAAAATTGGGGATCTGGCTGCTTGGGTCTCACCCCTTCCCCTTTGCAGAGTTGTGAAAACCAAGCGCGAAGGCTTTCTGCAGGAAGGGAACTGGCAATCGGTTTCCCCACCCCCGGAGTCGTGGCCGCAGAGGAGTGTGAGAGAGCGCTGAGGAATTTGGTGGACACTAGGAATTTATCTGGGGAATAGAGAGGCGGATCCTTGCAGTCTAGGGGAGGGGCCTGCTAGGCCAGCAAAGCTTTTGGACCCCTTTCACAAGCAGAGGAGACACGCGTGAACAAACCTTGGTTTCCGACTTGTAAATCGACTCAATTGTAACGCACACCTACCAGTCTTCTTCTCCCACTTTGGCCCAGCAGAGGAGGAGCTAGCCCTACTCACAGCTAATGTCGCTTGCCCATTTCCTTAGGCCTTCTTTTCTCTGAAGAGGCCTCAACTGGTTGCTACTGAGAAGGGTAGGAAAATGTCAAGATCATTCGCTGTTTCTGGGCCTTCCTTAACAAATCTCACAAAGGCTCCATGCCCCTCTTCCTTCCTCCCAAGAAAACAACAACTAAAATCCAGAGAAGATTCAGTTTGCTTCCTGCTAACATCCCATAAGACTCCAAGGTTTTAACCACGGTATTTTCCCATTTTACCTGGGAAAAGTTAAGAAAACAAGTGTTTCACAGAGAAAGTACAAAAAAAGAAAAAACAATCCTTCTGTACTTGGTCCTGTAAAGATACCAGTGGATTAGACAAAGGGGTATGAAGGGAAGGGGTGTGGAGTAATATGAAAGACAGTGGAATGAATCTGACATAACTTTCCTATGTAGATATGTGAATATGCCACAGTGAATCTCCTCATGATGTACATCCACAAGACTGGGATCCTAAGTAGAATAAGGTGTACTCATGTTTATGTAAATATGTCAAAATAGACTTCACTATTATGTATAATTAAAATGAACAGCAGCAACAAAAAGATACCAAGGAACTGCAGTGTGTACTCACATTTGACCATTGCACACCTACACACAATTTGGTGGGGTGGGTAGGGAATAAAATAGAATAATACAAATGTGAGGAAATATTTTACTAGTTAATAATCTTGATGGGAGCTGGAGATGTGGCTCAAATGGTAGCGTGCTCGCCTGGCATGAGCAGGGCACTGGGTTCGATCCTCAGCACCACATAAAAAATAAAATAAAGATGTTGTGTCCACCAAAAACTAAAAAATAATTATCAAAAAGTTCTCTCTCTCTTTAAAAAAAATCAGTAAAAAAATAATCTTGATGAAATTAAAACTACCTGCAATTTATTTCCAAAAATGCTTTTCTTGTAGACATCACAGTCTCAGTTGCTCTAGGACATCACCTTGCCTGGGACTTCTTGTCATGCAAACTTCCTCCCAATGCTGCTGGCTTCCTCTTCTCCTATCCTCTTAAATGCCAGGGTTACTCAAGTGAAGCAGACACATTCTAAAACACAAAGCAGGACTATACTTTTGAAAAAGGTTCTTTTTCATCCTTAATCCCAGCTTGGACCATCTTTCCTGGAGAAGAAAAAAATTCTTCTAGGGAGTTAAGTAGGTGAGGAAAGGGAACTGCAATGTAGGGGTTAAATGAAAGTGATGCTATCAAACTAGGAAGACTGAATGCATGACTCTCCCTTACTAATACATGAATCTCTCCTTTTGTGCTAGATTTTCTTTCCTTAAAATTAAGCATCAAGGAAGAGGGGCTGAAGCAAAACTCAATAGCATCTTCTGAACCTTTGACTGATTCTGAACCCCTCAGCTACATTAAGATATCATATCTCTAATCCTGGGCTCAGCTGGGAATTTGCTAACCTCTAACGTTTTGTTTTGTTAGCAGGGTCTTGTTTGCTTTCCCCCTATGCTGTAAACTAAACAGATTGTCAGCAAATCAGTCTTTATTAATGAATTAGTGAACCCTTCCCCCCAATATCTTTGCTAAGGATCCAAAATTTGTTAATCACCAGTATAGAGATTTATGAGCTCTTATTTTCTGTTGTTTGTGCAGGTGGAGATTTAAATGACCATATCCACTACCAAGATTTATTGCGAGAGTGATTGATGTTATAAACCAGGAAAGGGACTCTTCCCACAGCAGGGATGACAGAAATATCAAGTTGAAGTTGCCTTTGTCTTCATGCACAGACGACCCAGTACTACAACAGAGAACGTATAATAATTTAATCTGAGGCCCAAGATAGCATTAAGAGAACACCCAGCAGGCCTGTTAAAAGTCCCCCCTGCTGATTCCCAAACTAGTTTTCTTTGATTTGCCTTCCTTTTTCTCAGTCTTGGTAAGACACGAAATTCAAAGTTATTTTTAGACTAAGAGCTATGTGAAAATGGGCATTGGCCAGTACTTTGTGAAATGTGCAAGTGTATGTGTATTTGTGTGTGTGTGTGTGTGTGTGTGTGAGAGAGAGAGAGAGAGAGAGAGAGAATGTGTTGTAGCTACTGAGATATTTGCAAATAACCACAAATAATTTATTTATTTTTACTCTGGATGGGATGATAATTAAGAATATGAACTACTGCCATACATAACCAGACTATAAACTGTAAAGATTCTTCTTCTTGGAGTCACATTTTTTTTTCTTTCTGTTATTTTGGGTCTAATTCTCTGCCATACCTCAGTAGATAGGCTGCATAGATCATTTGGGGGATAGTGACAATCACAGTAACATGGACCTCCAAATAGATTGCTGCTTTTTATAATTCTTTTCAATGTTGGAAACTTAAAAACAGCAGATTCTAGAATAGAGCAAAACTTACCTCATGCCATGAACTGGCCAGCAATTATTTTTTTTATAGCAAAATAGAAGTATAGGAAAATAACATCTCTTTCAATTGTTTTTCTTTATAACAATGTAAACTATAATTAAGTACCATGTTTATTTATCTTGCAGTGATACATTCAGAATAGGGAGGACTAGTATGTTGATAATGAACCTTGGAGTGTTTCTAAAAATTCTGTAGGGGATAGTTAACAGTTTGGGAACAAAAACTGAAGAAGGCTATCATCTGAATATGTTGAAGAAAGTATATTAATGCTTTTTTTCTCTTGAAATTTTATGTCGATCTCTGCTAATAAATACTTGGGGACAAACAGGTGAGGGAAGTGGCTTATTGTCAGATTCTACTGAACAAATCGTTTAAGCTACAACTTAAAAACTGTGCCAAATTTTCCCAAAATGTAAATTATATTCTGTGAGAAGAAAATCCCTTTTGAGATGCTTACTAACTTACAATAACGGGAGAAAGAAATGCTTTGAAAATTAACTGTTTCAAAGCACTAAATAGAAAACTAGTGCTTTGAAAGTGTGAGATAGTTTTTAAAAGTTCTTACCTTACTTTTTAAGTAACAGTTTATGCTTCAGAGACATCTGGCCAATTTGCTGCACACTTCTAACAATTTGTTTTGCAAGGACGGCTATCTTTGAAAGATTTTAGTGCTAAGGAAAATTTATCTTCAAAAGTTGTAAAATGAAGATTAGTAATGGAATGTATCCTTGAACTTAAATCCCACTTTATCAACTGATAAATTTTCAGGAAGTTCAAATTTGATTCAGTTGCACTTGGGATGGAATAATTTGCTTCCTTTTTTTATGTGAAAGAAGACATTTCAGGCTTCTTTTGAACTGACTTTGTATGCCATCATATTATCTTTCCCAGAGAGAAAAATATGCCTTTAAATTCAAATGGTCATCTTTTTCTTATACTCCCTATGATGAGGCCAGGAGGTATCTTATCCTGGAAAGTCAGCAAAACTGCCAATTTCCTTTTTCCTTCACTTCTAATGAACATCTCCAGATATTTTATTCTTTTTCTTTGATGGTAACTGCCACCAATTTGCTGAGCTTTTATGCAAGCTGGTGCCTCTTTCTCAATTTTATATAACTGCCACTCTATCTTTTGTTTGCTGCCAGTTGATTATACCATCTGCTCCTAAGTCCATTGAAGTCTGACTTTTTAAAAATTAAATTTTAACTTCATTTCTTATATTGAGACTTATCTCCCCTTGTTACAAATCATAGTGGTGCCAACTTGTTGCACTTTGTCTGCTAGGGTGATCATAACTAGTTAGACTAGTTATTTTCTAAGGAGGTCAGTAACGGGGATGCTGGGTGTTACTGTGACCTTTCCCTGGCATCAGCCCAGGACATGAATCTATTCAGTAATCAGAAGTTCCCTTGGAATTCACTGTACCCTAACCCTCTTTTCACATTTAGCACAAAGAATTATAGATCTGACGTCAACAACAATAAGATTTAAAGTTGGCCAATGCCAATAAAATGTAAAGACTCTTCATGGTTCTTTGGGTCCAAAAGTTAACCTGGCATTCCATACTCTCCATGACGTAGCTTTGAAAGCAGCCAAGCCTGTATTCGTGAAGGATTGGGGTTTATGCTTCAGGAACAAGTGGCTGAATGAAACTCAGACAATGAGAGGTAAGAACTTATAAAGCCAGTTTAATAGTTTCCTTGTTTTCTAATATTAGAATAATTTTATTAGAGCCTACTCAGTTTTAGGAAAGAGAGGGGAAAAGATGGAACAAGCCTTGAGACTCTACCATGTAGGGCTTTTTGTCTTCATTTTTCCATTTCATTTAGAATCTTTCTTTGGAGACTGACTACTAAAGAAGAAGATGCTATATGAAATGAAAATCTGAATTGAAATGTGTGCCAGAGGATTTCTGTTGTAACAATGAAGTTTTAGAAAAATTTGCTTAAGTGTACTTTATTTTCTGTAGCTCACATTAAGCTTGGAAGCAAAATCTCTATAGTATTCTTAAAAAGAAAACTTGTGGATCATATTGAAGACACCTGTAAAGCACTTAAGTGTTAAATATGGCTTTTGATGGGTATGAAAAATAAACTGGTCAACTTGCTGTCAGCCTATTTTCTGTCAGGACAGGAGAAGATGGGCATTAAAATAAAAGAGCCTTTCTTGTAGTTATTTCCTTAAGATTATTTCCTTGAGGAGTAGAGTTATAGAGTTTCAATCCTGGGATCAACAAGAAAGTTCTGAGAGGGCAAATCCTGATCTTACAAATATAAAATGATGTAGCATTTTAAAATAAAGATGCAAAATAATATTCTGCTAGAATTGGAAAGGCGCTGAGAGCCAGTGAGGCCCTACACAGTCAAGAAT